CCCCCAGGACGTGCCCTACTCCACGTGGAGCTGGAGGACGCCGAGGCGAGGCCAGGGACGGAAATTGCCACTACCTTCTCACCTGATGCAGCGCCCCGGAGCCGACCGGGCCGGGCAGAGGCATCTCCCTCCAGAACCAGAACACAACGCGTACACTGAAAGGTCTGCAGGGAGGTTTCAATTCGCTCCCAGTCACTCGCGCCGGGGAGGGCAGTGTCGTTCAGCAACGGCCTGCTGGGCACTTCCGATAAAACTGAGAGGGCCGCGAGGCGGCAATCGTCGGTGCACCTCGTTTATCGTACTAGGCGAGGAAGAGGGGGAGAGCGGTGGAGGTGGAGCCTCGACGAGCGATAGAAGGACGACGGTGTGTGTGTGGGGGGGGGGGGGACAAGGCCGAGGAGTGGAACCGACTAGAAGGGTTAGGAAGAAGAAGGGAACGAGGGAGGGGCAGAGTATACATGTGACTGTCACACACGACAGTCGTACCCCCAAGTGGTGTGATGTGCCCCAGGGGACGCCCCCTTCACCCCCCTCTCTCCCTGACTAACAGAGGGAACACCAGACACTATAAATCCCTCAGTCCTGGTTAAAGTCTCCGCACGCCTGGTGGGCCGGGCCCGCGCGGGCGGGGCCCTGGTGGTGGTGGGTCCTGGTGGGGCCCTTGCCCACCCCTCTCCGACCCCCGGGCCACCCCCAGGCGGGCCCCAGCTGGCCCCGGCGCGCTCTCCTTTTCCCCGGCCATTCCCAGGAATTGGTGCATTTCACTCTCTCCTGATTGCGTCACGTGCCCCTCCCCCCCGGACATTATCGTAATGGCACAACGATGTGAAAATCACGAGGAACCACACCACCGCCCTACCGGTCCCAATACCCCTTGCACGGAAAAAATGCACTGCACCATACGAATAATTCGCACCTGAGAACTAAAACTCTGTTACCAGGGTACCACAAACCTTTAGTTGATTACTTTAATTATTGATAACCTACATTGACTTTGATATCATTTTTCGATACTGCTCTCTTTTCGACGACTAACAAGAATGTTATATCTTTAGAAAGCGAGAGGGTAAAAGAGACAACCTAATGACCAGTTTAGCATATACCCTGGCACGTCTACAAAATGCGAAGCCATGCAGCGGCAACCCGCACGGATAAGCAATAAAATTATTCCGTAACTTTATTCCGAACCTCAGACCTCTCTCCGTCTCTCTCCCTGCCTCACTTACTCACTCCATCTATTCACTCTCGCTCTATCTCCCTCTCTTTCTAACCCTTCCTCGCTCTGCGGGCGGGCAAGCCTTCCACGGGAACAACGCACAGGGCGAAAATTAGAGCCCTCCCGGTGTGGATCTTATTACCATACGACAGCTCCAAGACGGCGGGTGGTGAGAGGGGAGGGGGTGTAGAGGCGGAGAAAGGAGGGCGGGGGGAGGAGTTAGGTGGATGAACTCCCACACAAACAGCAACACGGTGCGGTGGCCCAACGGGGGAGACAAGAAGTTAAGGAAAGGAGTGTTGCAGCACTTGAGCTCTCTCCTTTCCTTTCCCTCACTGGCGGTGACACGAACGACCTGTCATACTGTAGGTTGCACCTGAGATTTAGTGACAGTTGTGGTGCTCGAATAGGTGCAACAAACATACCGGAAGTCAATAGGATAGTGTGCGGACGGACCACATCAAAACAAAAGTAATGAGAATGTTTTTAAAAATTTTCACGTTTTTCCTTCAGAGTAGCGGAAACACAAACGGGACCAAGTCCCAATGAAAGTGGAATTCCATAGCCTTTCCTGAATCAGCAACCCCGAGTTTTTTTCTCCAGCCCAAGTGCTAAGGCTATCAGACGGAGCCACAGCCGCACGCGTCAGCAGTGTCTCACGTCCATTAGAGCTTAAAGACATTGGGAGGGGGGAGGGGGCAAAAAGGGTTCGGGAGGGTTCCGGGCAGGGGGTGACATATTGGCTCATCACCCGATGGAACTGCCGCCGACTCGGTCACCCCACCGAGGTTAACCCCACTAACGAAATAGAGTGAGAGATAGCGAGAGAGGGGCAGAGAGAGGGGGTAGTGGTGTGGGGGTGACAATAGAGGGGAGGGGGGTGAGTTTGTAGGCTGAGGAGGGTGCAGCAGTCTTAAGAACCGACAGGGCGCGCGGGCGGGCGAATTGCAATCTGAATATTTAGATTCACTCCGAGGCGGTTGTCTTGTTTAACCGTTCAATTTTACTAATTAGGATGGAAATCATAAAGTTAGAGCATAGGGCGAGTCGCGATGAGGTAGTAGAGTTATGAGAGTGACAGGGAGGGTTGAGAAGGAAGGCTGCAGGAGAGAGAAAGGTTCACCGCGAAACTAGGTTCCGCAAGCCTGGCCGTTATCTGTAATTAAAGTAGTCCCCGCCCAAACGAATGCCGTTCAACTTGTCTAACGAAGAGACGAGTTCCCTTGTTGCGACGCTGGAACTTTCTCTCCCTCCCCAGCTCCCCCCTCCCTCCTACCTTTTCACATCCTCTACCTACCCAACCCACCCTTACTATACTGGAAAAGTACACTTTACGCCCAGAGAAAAGGGTGCAACGTTCAAGTATTTTAAGATCATGAGCTGCATCTTCTAGTTTCAAATTGTAAATTTACAAGCTCAGCTATATTAGGAGAGTTTTTCAACCACCATGTACTCTTCACCCAACCACTTCGACTTGTGTGACAGACCCGTCGACGCCTTGACTGGAGATAACTGCAATAAGGGCGGGTGTGTACAGTTACAGCTGCAAGCAGCACAGCGGTCCAGACAGCGCAGCCCAAATAACCGAACGCCCGCCCCACCCCGCCTGCCTGGGCCTGGGCCTGGGCGCCTCAATGCAGTGCAAACACAATCCTGCTTGGTCGGCGGAGTTTGTGAAGGGGCTGAGCCGTGGCGGGGCGTGGCGGGGCGTGGCGGGGCGTTACGGGGCGCTACGAGTAGCGGCCGCCACCGGATTGTACCGCGTCGGTTTGACGAAGCCAAGTATCACTCGAGGAGTAAACGGCGCGAATCTCAATATTGATATCGCGTCGGAGCAATCAAACTAATTTCCGGACGGCAAACCGAAGGAGGAGGAGAGGACGAGCACCGGCAGGCGGAGAGCCTCGCGGAGAGCGCACACCGCGAGAAGGGCTGGTCTGGTCTCCGCAAGCTGAAGTGCCCCGGCGATGCTACCGCCACTGGCCAAATACCACTCTCCCTAGTTATACATGAAATTGGCGATCGTCGCTTTTGTTTTGAAAGTGAACGCCCTGAAAGGGCGGTGCTCGCGGTTCGGTTCAAGTGAAGTACTACATTCCACTGGAAACCAATCTGAATGGGAAACCAATTCGCACTGAGAACGCACTGCGGAGGCCCGGCCCGGCCCAAACAAAGACCATCGTCTTCTTAACAATAAGTATTTAATTACATGCATCATCGAGTGCAAAATCGTAGTGTGGCACGGAATGTTCCTCGGTTTGAAGATCACACTCTAGAAAAACAAAGGTGCTACGTCTTTCCCTTGCAAAGGCTCTAGAGGTTTAATATTGTCAAAGGCACTTACACTAGTGCCTGACAGACGCAATAACTGAGAATAATTTCTTTAGCTCCCCTGGAAAAGCACGTCTCAGCACCCTTGTTTATTACACTTTTTCTTTTACAGTGCACTTGTGCACACCGAGCTGCACACGCCAGCACCACTACCACCACACCCGACCACACCACCCTCTCGATGACCGATCGCAATGCCCACTCTGCGGCTTTCCACCGCATTTGCTGATCCCACGCTCATTTTAAGTTTTAACAAGGCATCGTTAGTGGGCCGCCCGGCTGAAGGGACGAGGGCGGCGGGCGGTAAAAAGTTGCCCGATGTTATTTACTCGCAGATCATCTGGCCGATAAAGACGCTCGCCAGGCGGCGGGGCTGCGGGGGCGGGACGGTCAATTAATGCAGAGGAACTGAGTCGGCATCTTGATGTAAAAGTCTCGGGAGAGTTTTGCGGGGGGACGCCGCCGCCGCCGCCGTCGATGGCTCGCGAGAGTTCTGGCCCCGCGCGCAATAGAAAAATATGGAGAATAGGGGACGCTCTCCGGAATTATTGCGTCAATCTGCGAAAACTTCCAGGAAGGAAGACTGTGTTGGATTCAAGGTAAAACGCTCTTCCCAGCAACCCCGTGGTGCGGTCAGTAGGATTACGGTGTCCATACCAGTTCGCGCGCCCCGCCAACCTCGCCCCCTCCCCTCACCCGCCTCCGCGGTCGCATTCCTTGCCCCATCAATCCTCTTTTCGCAATTTCCACCCCACTATCGGCCGCAGACCACCCCCCAGCCCGTTCTCCTCTTCTTCTCCCTTTGATTTCCACCTTCCCCCCGACATCCCCTCTGAAATGCCAATGCCCCAATTGGATGCGGTTTTGCGGGTAGAATCTATTTAGAAGCCTGTTTGAAGCGAAGTGTAACCCCGGGCCGGGCCGTCACCCTCCCCCGTCGACGCACGATCACCTCGCCCGACCCCTCCACCGCTGATCCACTTCGTCCCCACCCCCTTCATCTCTTTGCCACCCCTAACATCCCATCACCCGTCGGGCACCGCGGAAAAAATTAAGTGTCGTAGAACGGCCACTCTACATTCCAAACGGGACTCAGAAAAAATAGTTTACTTGTTTTTAAACATACAAAAAGTTATTTGAAACAAAATTGAGTGGTATACCCCGTCGTTGGCAGAATATAAAAAAGTACCCAGGATGAATATTTCTCGGAAATACAGTAAAGGTCGGGAGGGAAACATCGTGAAGCAATGTCGTCTATATGATCTGTTTCTTGACCTTTTCAAAAGTCCTTTGTTGTTGGTTCTCTTTTCTATCTAGGCACAATGATGTGACAGTATACTGGCACTTAAAATTATTAATCCGATCAGCGAGGTCTTTGTGAAAAGTCGGTGATGCAAAACAACAACGAGTAACGAATCGCGACTTAAAACTGCATGCGAATATCGTCTCTCACCGGCACGCACGGCGACGTCCCTGCTGACCACGACGCCGACGCTGTTGCTCAGCACGCAGCGGTAGACGCCCCAGTGGATGTCCTGGCGGAAGGCGGCGGCCTGGAAGGGCGGGAAGACGAGCGATCCGTTGTCGAGCAGGTGGCGCACCCCGGGCACGGTCCGCACGGCGGCCCCGGGCTCGCCCTGCCCGCCCAGGCCGCCGCCCTGGCGCCACTCCACGCGGGGCGCGGGGTTGCCCCTGCCCGAGCACTCCACGCCCGCGCCGCCCTCGTTGGTCAGGTCGACCCTCGCCGACGGCTCCAGCGTGAAGGTCGGCCCCTGGCTGTCGTAGGTCGCTCCTGCGGATAACACAAAACAGAGAGAGTGTTAGACCCGCACCAGGTGTTCGGATGAATACCTATGTCAAATAAAAGCGATTTCCAGTGGTATGCAGAAGCGATCTCTTAAGTTGATGAACACGGACTCTGGGGCCATTGCATATATTTGATATTTGGCAATGAACGTCACGTATGTTGGGACAAGTAAGTTTTTTGCTCATATAAACAAGCTAGTTCGTTGCGGAGGCAAAGAAACTCTTTCCTTTGCATTTTACATTTTTTTCGTTTTTTTTAACTATTTTTTAACCGAGCACTCCGGCGCACTGTAGTACACAGGTAGTTTCCCGGGACCTGAGCCCCCGGCCACGGCAACACGCACGCCCACACAAACCTGTACGAGTCATTCCCTGGATTGATGCGGCCCGTTCCCCGTTGATGTATCCGACAACAAAACGCGACCTCGCCTGCAGCTGCGTGCCTCCATTCCATATATATATACACAGAAGGGCCGTGCCCACAAATGACCCGCGAAGACACAAAACACAACACGGACCACGACCAAACACAACACAACACAGTACAGCGGTACAACAACACAGCGCGGCGGGCGCAGACGAAACACAACAACGGACGGAACCTGGACGCCCATCCATTACAGATTCACGGACAGTAGGATGAGGGGGGGG